TGTTCCCATGATGGGATCAGATGACTGTGTTCTGAGTGGCCAATCTGTCCAAGGGGAGTTTCCCTAGGGATGTGGCCTGCTTCCAGGATATCCAGGGAAATCCTGGGTAGAGGGACATTCTTCTGTGGATTGGGATTCTATTGTGCTGCCTACAACTGTCCGTGAGTGAGCAGTCTACCGTTCGGCCTGGAGATCTTGGATTCATCATTCGTTGGAGTCAACAGCCAGTGTACTGCCTGCCAGCCTTGAGCTTCTTGGCCCCCTGCGGGGAAAAGCCTCCAGCCTGACATTTGATTCAGTGACTCTGGACTTGCTGGCTTCAATACATTTGTGAGCCATTTTCCTAAGATAATTTTTTTCTCTCTCTTTATATATATATAAGCTTTGCTGTTTTTTCTCTAGCGAACCCAGTCTAACACACCTACTTTAGTCATGTTGTCAGAAGGGACCACTCCCTGGAGAAGGATGAAGGACATCTTGCTTGGTAAAGTGGAGCATCAGCGAAAAAGGGGAAGACCTCCAAGAAGATAGATTGACACAGTGGCTGGAATGAGGGCTCAACCATAGCAAGGATTGTGAAGATGGCACATGACAGGGCAGTGCTTTGTTCTGTTGTACATAGGGTCACTATGAGTTAGAATTGACTCAATGCCACGTAACACTGAGACTGTTAGACAGATGGATATACATCTAGCACTTTTAACAGCCCAGTGGTGTTGCTAGTGTTGGTGTCACCCCATTGGATAACTCATGGTGTCACCCTCCCCTAGACTTCCTCACATATCAGACCATAAGGAATTCTTTGTAATGTTTATTATCCATTTTTATCATAGAATAATATGTGATAAATATAGTTGTAAATTGCTTAATGTAATATTCCTTAGAGTATATGAATACTAACAACGAATTTTTTTTTGTAAAACCTTTCTGAATTGCAACATTATTAGTTAGAACACTAGTGGTAACTGAGTGGAAGCCTTTTTTGATTTTTCAAGTTATCGATTTAGGTTTACAAATACTAATTATCACAGTATTTGTGATCAAATTAATTTAAAACACTAGAAAATGACAGAATTAGAGACTATAAGAACATCAGTAGCAACAAAATAATAGTGCATGCTTGTAGCATGTGCAGATGAAGCCATGTGATTCAAAGTGTCAATTTAATCGGATAATAATGACAACTCTGATCAGAGCATTACAAGATTCAAAAAGTCAATTAGCATAGTTTTAGCATAGTTTTAATGTATATTGATACACATGAGCTGGGCTTGGGAGCTCTGCTGGTGTAGTGCCTAAGGCATTGATTGGACTGCTAACCAGAAGGCTGGAGGTTCAAATCCACCAGCCACTCCTCAGAAGGAAGGTTGGGCAATCTACTTCAGTAGTGATACTGCCTTGAAAACCTAAGGAGGAGTTGCTATGAGTCGGATCCAAATCGACGGCAATGCAATTTTTTTTGGTTTGGAAGCTGGGCTTACAAAAAATGGTTTTGTTGTTTTACAGGGATATTTTTTTAAAAAAAAAAATATCTGCTGAAAAACTTCATGAAAATTTTATAGACGGTCATTTTGGTGTCACTGCCTCTAACAGTGTTACTTGGTGTGGTCCACATCCCCCACCTCCCACACCTCTCTAGTAATGCCACTGGAACAGTCTCCAAAAAAAAAAAAAAAAAACCTAAACTCTGCCATCGAGTCATGGCCACCCAGCAGAAATAGATCACCCCATCTTCCTTCCATGGAGCAGCTGGTGTGTTTGAACTGCCAAACTTCCAGTTAGCAGTTAAGCATCTTATCCACTACATCACAGCCTCAGGTACATGTAAATGCTGGATAAGTGTAAGCTATATGAAACATTGCTCTTTCCATCCCCTTTTCTAAGAAGGAAGGTGGCTGATGTACTTGAGGAACAGCAAGGAGGCTAATGGGATTTAAGGGGTAAGAGACAGATGAGGTCCAAGAGATATAAGTGCCAAACTCTAGGGCCTTGTAGGTCATTTACTCAGTGTGATGGGGAGCCATTAAATGAATCACCTGACTGCTATGCTGAGGAAAGACTGCAGAAGGGGGTGAGGGTAGAACAGAGACATGCAGTAGGGGGTTACAACCATTATTCAGTCAAGAGGTAATGGGGTGTCTTGGGATGGTAGTGACAGTGGTGAGAAGTGGTTATATTCTAGATGTATTTTGAAAGTAGAGCTAATAGACTAACACAGGGAAGAAGTGGAAGAGTGCTGTTATACTGTAGGGACTGCAATCATGCCATAATACAAAATGTGTATAAATCGCTGAGTGGAAAACGAATTTGCTCTGAAAACTTTCACCCAAACTACAATAAAAAGTTAAAGAAGAAGAAAGTAGAGCCTATAGGACTGGCTGATGGTTTGGATGTGGGGTATGAGATAAAGGGCAGAGGCAAGAAAGGATAGGGGTACCATCAATGGAGACAGAGACAGCTGTGGGGGAAGGGAAGGATGGGGAAGATCAGAGATTCATTTTTAGATTTGCTAAATTTCTACATCTATTAGACATCCAGGAGCTCTGATGGCATACTGATTAAAGCATTTGGCTGCTAACCAAAAGGTCATGTGTTCAAACCCACTAGCTGCTCTGCAGGAAAAAGATGAGGTAGTCTGCTTCCATAAAGATTTCTGCCTTGGAAATCCTATGAGGCAGTTCTACTCTGTCCTATAAGGTCACTATGAGTTGGAATCAACTCGATGGCAATGGGTTTGTTGTATGGAAATGAGTGAAAAATACACTGTTTTTCCAATGAAAACCATGCTGGTTGGTTTGCTTTAATTAATTCTTGCTTTCCTCTAATACTTATATAATTACATGTTTGTCACTGGGTCAGGTCCTTTGACACATATCATCTATCTTATAGGCTTATTGCAGTTTTCAAACACAGATAATGTATACAAAGGGCCCATTCACAGTAGGCTGACAGGGAAATGGGTACTTACACTTTCTTCCAAGTGGATACTATTCAGATCTGTCTTCTTTTTATTCTACTCTACTAGCCTCGGAAGGAAGGTTGGGCAATCCTACTTCCGTAGGGATACTGCCTTGGAAACCCAAGGAGGGGTCACTATGAGTCAGGGCTGACTCGACGGCACATAACAACAACAAGTCTTGTGAATAACCACTATCCTCTATATAGACTAGGAATGGATATCTGATAAGTAGCTTTAGGAAGAAGTCCTATACTCTGAATTAAAGTTCTTGAAATCTGGTCATTCAAGAGCAATCTACCAGCAATATCAATGAAAACTTGGAGCAGTTGGATCCACCTCAGTGCAGATTCAACCTTCCAGGCCCTGGCGAATCAAGATAGAAGAATGGGGTTTCATAATGTCCAATCCCAAAGTACTAGATGTACACCAAACAAAAGCAATAACAGCCATATACATCAGACATTATCGAAACAGTTCATGTTTGATTTTCACAACCTTCTCTTCAACCCAATGTAAACGGACTTCCAGATTCTCTAAGAAATAAAAACTTACATTTATCTCCTACACTCAACTGAGGATTTTGACAGATTTTCAGAACAGTGCCTTTAATTTTTTTATTCCACCTCCTCCCCACCCTCCTTGGACAAACAGTAGCAGAAAGGGCTGTGAACTGTGTCTTTAGATGGTCTGTAGAGATCACGCTAGCAGTTTTCTGTTGACACTAACGCCAGCAGCCACTGAGTCCTTGGCCTGCTCAATGACCTGCCTCTTTTGAGAAGCAGAGCAAAACTATGAGGCAATTATTTTCAGCTTGACCTTTAAGCCCCTGCTGGCGTCAAGCTAACTAATGTGTGTGGATTTTTCTATTGACATTTCTGACTGCCCCTTTTGCAAACTGAAAACAAAAAACAAAACAAAACAAAAAAAAAAAACCTGGAGGTCAAGAGGGAAGAAAAGTACGGGAGGAGTCAGCAAAATTTGTTGTCTGCAGGGAGTTTCCACAGTAATTGACAGGCGGGTAGAGACGTGGGTGAGAATTATAGCCTATCTTACTTCTGTCTCCAACTTTGGTCTCCCGAGTGGATGTACCAGAAAAAAAAAAAAAGGGGCAGCAGTAGCAGCAGTTGCTGTCCAATCGATTGTGACTTACGGCAACCCTATAGGACAGAGGAGAATTGCCCCATAGGGTTTCCAAAGCTGAAATCTTTACAAAGATGTAAAAAAAAAGATTTGTCACGTCTTTCTCCCGTTGTGCGGCTGGTGGATTCAAACTGCTGACCTTTTGGTTAGCAGCAGAGCACTTAACCACCGTCCCACCAGTGCTCCTTGCAAGTAGATGCAGACCCCATCAAATACAGGCGGAGGGGGAGGGGAGGGCGAAGGGGCGGAACTGAAACCTGTTTTACCTCAGAGTTTGGATCCTAGAGTAGTTGGAACTTATTCTTCAAGAACGCCTTGTGGGAAGGTGGGCGGAAGTGTCAATCGATTCTCTGGGCTCAGCTCTACCCTCCCCGGTCCTGGTTACCCTTCATCTCTGGGACGGTCTTGTAGGGCGTCCTGGAACGGAGCTGGCCAACCGAAAAGTTCGTAGCACCCGCCACCCAGCTTCCTGGCCACGCGGACCCAAGAGCCCCATTCCCTCCTCCCATGCCCAGGTTCACTTAGCCGGAGGCCCTCAGCGTCCCAGGCTCTCGTCCGCAGGCAGAGGTTTAGGCCTCCTCTGTTCCTCGCGGGGCTCTTCTCTGGGTTCCCGCTCCCGCCCCTGCGCAGAGGTTCCCCCACACACACTCTGCCCCCTCCCAGCGCTCTGTCCCCAGTTTCTCACCTGTTTCCTCATCTGTAAAGTAGGGACAATAATCTACCTCGTTTACCTAGAGCGTGACAAAACGACCACAAAAGGGGGGATTCCATTATAACGTTTATTGCTACTTATCTTTATTGTTGTTGATACTGTTGTCGTCGCCATTATTTGGGGGAGGAGAGCTTTCGTCTAGGCTTTCAAAGGGCAGCAGTGGCCAGCGCCCGCCCCCGCTCCACCCTCAGTGCCAGGGCAGCAGGGCCTGCAGACCTCAGCCCTCCGCTGTCGCGCTGGCGGCTCGAACCCCGCAGCCCCCTCGCGGCCTGGCTCTCGGCGACATGGTGGGGACCCACCGCCTCCTGCTGGAAAACGCGCGGCAAGTGGTGCTAGTGTGCACGCGCGGCGAGCGCTTCCTGACGCGGGCGGCGCTGAGCAGCCTGGCGGTGCTGGAGGACGCCAGCCTCGTGGTGGGCACGTAAGTGGGATAACCAGTCAAGTACCGCCGCACTTGGCGCTTTCTCAAACGTGCCCGCGGCGCAGGAAAATGGGGTAAAAGTTTTTCCCGCACCCAGAGAGACATTGGCACGACTGCTTTTTAAGCACCGAACAGATTTAACTGCATCGGGTT